GCGTGTCCTTTTTTAGGGAATTCTTTCGCTCTCGCGGACTCCAGGGCGGGGGCGCAGAGACCGAGAGGAGGCTCCTTTCGCGGCCCCCCCGCGGGGCGGCCGCGGGCTCCCAAATCTCCTCGCCGCTCTCCCCGGCCGCTTCGGTTGCGCAAACAACTCCCTCGGTCTCTCCTGCCCTCGGTCCCGCGGTCCCCGCGGCGGCCGCCCCTTCAGTATGCGAGATGGATGGGCTTAGGGGGAGAGGGGGAAAGAAGGGGCGCCCGGAGCGCAGGTCCGGGTCACCCCCCACACACACCACCACCTTGTTTCTCTCCCTCCTCCGCGCCGCTGGCAGAGCGGACGGCCCCAGGGGCCCTGGGCATTTTTATTTTTAGCGTGGTGACCTGGGCGGCAGCTCTGAGAGCCTTTCCCAGGATTCGGCGTCAGCGCCGCCCTCCTCCACGGCCAGCCGACAGCCGCACGGCCCCACACTTCCGTGGCCCTGCCGGCCGGCTGGGGTTTGGATCCCCCGAGCCTCGCCCCCGCCTCTGGAGCTGAACTGGGTCTCAGCCCCGCCGAATCCTCGGCGGTGGGGACGGGAGTCGGCGGGAGGATGGCCGTCTGGGCCTCCCAGGAGATGCTCGCCTGCGGCCGGTGATGGGCTCGGAGCAGAATGCCAGGAAGGAAGTTGAGCGACGGGGAATGAGTGCATGGGGCTGGGCGCTGGTGTTCTGGAAAGCTCTCAGCACTCGCAGTCAGGAGGCCTGGTCTGAATCCGACCAGGACCCGCCCTGCCAATCGCTGCCTCGCCTCGCTGGAAGATAAGACAGGGAGTCGGAGGAGGAGAGCACAAATAGGGCGCGGTGGGAGTTCCGGAGCAGGCTGGCCCCTAAATAGCACGTGCGGCAGCCCGCTAGCCTCCTCACAGAGCACCTTTGCAGGCCCCGGCTTGGGTCATTTCACATGGGGAGACTGAGGCTGGAAGGGCCTTTCCTTCGGGTCATAGCCAAGTTTTGAAAGGCGGTCTGTGACTTCAGAGCCTGGTTTGGTGGGGTGGGGGAGATGGCAGCTTCCAGGGGAAACTCCTTTTGTTCTCCCTCTGGAGAACCACCACCCTGACTCTCTGCTGGCCTCTTCCCTGATTTCCAGGGTAGCCTGTGCCTATGAAGTAGAAGTGACACCGCCATTTGGCCTGGCCCGGCCCCCCAACCCCCTCGGCGGGGCATGAGAGCCAGACTGGGCCGCTGGCTGCCTTCCCTGCATACAGAGGAGCCTCTTTGCCGTGCCTGGGACTGGCATCTCCTTTGTGGAGCTGGGGGTCAACCCCCTCCTCTGCGTGAGACTTGGGGTTTGTGGTCATGGACTTTGTTCCAGGGGAGGGGGAGGTGGGAACCAATTCCAGGGGTGTCCAGGCTGGAACCAGAGGCCCCATTGCTGGGATGCAGGCTGGAGGGGGCCCCCGGGCCCCCAGCATGTTCCCTGTCCACCTCATAGCTGTGCTTGCTCTTCCGCCTGCAGGAGCTGACATGGACTCCAGTCCCCGGGCAGCCCTGGAGCGCCAGCAGCTCCGCCTGCGGGAGCGGCAGAAGTTCTTTGAGGACATTCTACAGCCAGACACAGAATTTGTCTTCCCCCTGTCCCACCTGCATCTGGAATCGCAGAGACGTAAGTTCTCGGTCCTAGGGAGGGAGCGGGGGTAGAGAAGGGAAAAGGCATCTTGGAGGGCTGCGTCTGGGGGACTCCTTTCTCTCTTGTTTTCTTGCCCTTTCTTGCCCGGACTTGCCATACCCCCAGCACCCCACCAGAGCCTCCTGACGTGCTCCCTCCTTGGGTCTGCAGCCCCCATAGGTAGTATCTCATCCATGGAAGTGAATGTGGACACCCTGGAGCAAGTGGAATTTATTGATCTCGGGGATCAGGATGGACCGGATGTGTTCCTGCCTTGCGAAGATGCTCCCCCCACCCCCCAGACGTGTGGTATGTCCCTCTTCTTAGAACTTGGGCACCGGTTAGCCAGAGCCGGATGTCAGCTCCAAGTAAGACCACAAGACTGGACAGGGGAAGTAGACACTTTGGGGCTGGAAGTGGGCGTTTCTGCCAAAGTAACAGCTGTCTCTTCTGATTTTAGGGAAGTTGACCCTGAGGGGAACCAGGTTATAGATCCCCTATAGAGTCCTACAAAAATGTAGGAACACCAACCCTCCTTAGCCTTTGCTATTTTATCTTGGGGGAATTAATAGAGTTAAAATAATGTAAAAATGTATACATTGTTTTTTCATTAGACAACTTTGCCTTTTTGGGCCATCTTAAGGATGCCAAAGGTATTTCTCGTGCCCTTCATTGGGTCTCTCTTCCTGTGCTGGGAGTACCCTGCGTACACCATCTCAGTCCTTACCCTGCACTAGGGCGGGGGTTACCTGCATCTTTGAAGCAGCGTCATATAGCCAGAGAGTGGAAAGTCAGGTTCAAGCCCTGATTGGCTGACTCCCAAGCCCTAACTTGTAAGAACCTCTTAAAACTGCTGTTGTTTACTGGTGACCTGCTATGTGCTAGACATCCAGTGCATTCTTAACTTTCATCTTCAAAATCCTTCTGGACTCTGGTGTCCCTTCCCAACAGGGGGGCAGCAGAGTCCTTGAGAGGGAAAGTGATTTGCCCAGAGCTACTCAGTAGCAGGTGACCGTGATGTAAGTAGAAAATGGACCCTCGGCTCAACTGACCTGACCTGGGAGCCCATAGTCATTGTAGTGAATGGAAGGGGCTGGAGATCAGGATGCCGGATCTCTGCTAGACCTGCTCGGCGGACAGTATCTGCCCCCTCTGGGCTCCCGTCCTCCTGGATGGACAGCTCTAAGCTTCCTCAGCAGCCCCGTTTGTGGCCCTCACGTGCTCTTCTCTCTGGGCAGGCATGGAGGACCGTGCAGGCGAGCTGAGCCTGCCAGTGCCTGCGCCCGACAGGACCACGTCCCGAACCTCCTCTGCGTCCTCCGACTCCTCCACCGACCTGCACAGCCCGAATCCCAGTGACGATGGTGCAGACACGCCCTTGGCACAGTCTGACGAGGAAGATGGGGGTGACGGAGGGGCAGAGCCTGGAGCCTGCAGCTAGCAGCAGGTCCCTCCTACAGACTGCGCAGGCTGACGTCTCCCCGTGTGAGATCCTAGTCCCAGCCAGAGCCCTTTGGAGAAAACCAGACTCTCTGCTTGTGGGACACACCAGAGGGAGCAACTGGTGGTGGCCGGTGACCTCACTGAGAATAACCCTCTCCTGCTTTCCTGCTAACCTTTTCTGCTGCAACCCTTCCGCCAGTTTTTGGTTTATCCCTGAAGGAGGGCTGGTGAACGAGAAGCCGGAAGGCGAGGCAGGACGAGGTAGGACAAGATGGCGCTGTTCTTAGCTCCTCACCCTCCCCAAACGCTCCTTCCAGGGGTCTCCTAAACAGTGTGTCTGAAGGGACGAGAGCCCCTTGCCTTCCCAGTGCGATGGCATCCCAGCCGTCCACCTCCTATTACTCTTTTTGGAACGGGGCATGGCTTAAATAATAAACGAGTAATAATAAGCTAGCCATGCCACTTCATTTTTCACCTTGCAGAGATATCAGATCCACTGTATTTCCTCAGCTCTCTGACCAACACCATATATATCCCATCAGGTGTTTACTCCATCGTGCGGGGCATCTGCAATAGTTCTGAGAGAGACAGGCGTTAACCCGCCTGCTTGAAGTTTATTTACTACTCTGGAGGAGGAAATCCAATAAACACCACTGCTCATAGTGTAATAACTAACATGACAAGGAACTGGCCTGGTATTGGAAAATAAGGAAATCTTAACCAAGCGTGTGTCATTGATGAACATTTGGTTTTCAGTTTTTAAGCTGAGATCTGAGGGGTGAGTAGGAGTCAGGTGGGGGCTGTAATCCAGGCAGAAAAAGCAATTTGGGAAGACTTTAAGTGGAGAGAATGTAACTGAGAAACTGAAAAACAGTCAAGCTTGGCTGCACTGGAGGAGGATGCAGGGAGAGGTAACAATTGGCAAAGGTCGAGTCATGAAATGCTTTGAAGTCTGTATCCAGCTTCTGTTTGACTGCTAATAAAACATCAGTGACTTCAGATATAAATCTATTTCCTCATGTAAAAGAAGTCCAAAGTGCAGGCTTGTGGCCACTGCACTGCTCCTGGGCAGCCAGGCCCTCGCTGTTTGCTCGGCCACCCAGGCCCGTGGCTCAGATTGTGGTGTCCTTGGAACCCACACAACAAACGAAATTGGGCACGGGCATAAAAGGCCCAACCCAGTGTCTCTTCACAACTCAAGGAGCATTTCTGGAAGCTCTAACCAGTAGCATCTACTGTCCTTTACTGACTAGAACTTGCTAACATGAGAAACATTTCATTTAGAGGCATTACAGAGATATGGGACACACATTTCTAGAAGAAAGGAAATTCTGGCCTTGGGAAAGACAGTCACCTTCCAAGTCACTGGACTTCACGCACCTGATTTCTGTATCACCTGTCACTCGGCTCAGAATTGCCCAGGCTCCTGGGGAGGCTGGATTTTCCTTGGGTGTTGGGCACAGGGCCATCTCGATAAAATCATGGTTATGTGATTAAAGAACAAGAAAACAGTGAACTTGGGGTGGGTAACTAGCAATTTGCATTTTAGATGCCGCATAAAGGGATTTGAACTTTATTGGGAGTAAAGGATGATAGTGGTTGAATTTGTTTGCCAAAATGATAATTCTGGTCACAGTATAAAGAACATACTGGAGGAGGGGAGGGAAGCTCAAGGCAGACAAAACACAATAACCCATGCAAGAGGTACTCGTGGCCCAGGGGACAGCGGAAGTGATTAACCACTTGCATGAAGCAGGGTATAAACAAGTGACATTCATTGTTAAATACGATGTGCTCCGCATGGAAGGTGCTGAGCATGACCTTGAGGCTGCAGTAGTGCCAAAGAGACTCAGCCCTGCTTGATGGAGTTGAGTCTAGTTCAGGCCCAAATGTCAAATTGCAGCCAGGACTAGTGGCGGGAAGGAGTTAACAGCCCATCCGAGACCTGGAGGTGTGTCCCTTGAGGAAGCTTATTTGAGCTGGGAGCTAAGGGTGGGTAGGAGGAAAGTAGGGAAGACTGGCTGGAAGAATCCTTGTAGAATACTGCCTGGAGTGTCCAGCATGGATACCCGGAGGCCAGGGGGTTCCAGCCATTCGATAGGAGAGAAGAGGCTGCCGTGGCGGGTGATAAGGGTGGGGATGAGGGTGTAGGAAAGTGGAAGGGGTGAGATATTCAGGATGCAAACCCCAAAAGATTTGAAAGAAGGGTGAGTGAGGAGGGGGTCAAGGGTGCCAGCATTTCTGCCTACTGACTAGTGGTCTTTTTTTTTTTTATCCCTATGGAGTTTAAGGACCAGGTTTGGGAAGAAGGTCATACATTTGGTTTTGGATATGTTGAGCTTAAGGTGCTTTTGAGACGTCCAGAAGGACACATTGAGTGGGTACTTGGCCCCATGAGAGTGGGGTTTAGCCGAGAGACTGCGGTTGGAAAAATGAGTGGACGAGTTATCAGCATGTGGCTGGTAAGCGAAGCCCTGGATATGAATGAGCTTTCCCAGGAACAGTGGGAACCGAAAGGAGGGAGGTATAGGACCAGCTTTAAGGAACATCAAGCCATTCCATTTCTCACACTGGAGAAGAAAAATCACTCCCTTTATATATCCAACACTTCCCCTGGGGTCAGCAACCTTCCGCCTAAATCTCAAAGCTCTTTGTGCCACACAGGCTGAGTGACAGGACTTAATTCTTCCCATAGCCCCATTCTGCTTTCACTCCACAGGAGGCCTTCGGGAGTGACAGTTTTTAAGTGCCTTTGCTAATGCTAGTGAGAAGCCTGTGGGAGTTTGTGCTCTTTTTGTCTCAAGGCTTCTGTGTCTTAAGTGAGATCATCCACTAAGCTGGGCCAGGGCCCAGGCTCATGTTAACTTTTGTTAATTTCCTGGATTGTCCGTGATTGTGCTGCACTCAGATGACAGGGTTCTGTCCCTGTGTTTGTGCTCCCTTTCCTCCAGAGGAGCAAGGTTCAACTTCCTCTCTGACTGCGACTAAGCCTCTGGGCTGTAGCCACACTTGTCAGCCTCTGGGGTCACCCCATGACTGCCAAGGTGAATGAGGGGTGCTAGGCTAGCTTGGCAGCTGTCAAGATGTTTATACCTCAGTATCCCAAGTGCAGGATGCTAAGGTTGGGCCAGGACTGTGCCTGAGGAGAGGAATCCACAGCCCTTAGGAGAGGTAGAATTGTTTGGGAGTCTGTGGGGAAACCTTCAGTTCAGCTCCTATGAGCCCCAGGACTCCCTGGGGAAGTCTGAGGTCCGCTGAGACCCCAGGACCACTTCCTGGTTGGAGAATGACCTCCTCTCCTGCCAAACCACAGGGATTTGGCAAACCTTCAGAGCCAGCATCTCCAGCTGACTTGTTTTTTAGGTCACACAGTGCCCTTGGAGATGGAAGAATAATTTGGAGCCAGCTCCGAGGCAAGGAGCCCAGCTTTTAATCTCCAAGCCACAGTGTGGTGGCTTCTGTCTGCTGCATAGATTTGTTAGAGTGGATAGACATTTGACAGATTCTAGAGAGGAGGGAAGACAAACTGATCCCACAGAACCCTGTGCTTGCAGGAAAGGGGAGAGACCACAACTTGGGGAAGGGAACGGTACCTAGAAGACGCACATGGTAGCAGTCCCCAGGGGTGCACAGAATTTGATACTGTGAGAGCGTGGTAGACAGTACGGACCAGTGCTGTTGTGCTGATTTGTTCATTCAGACCTCACTGAGCACCTGTTGTATGCTCCCCTCCTTAGGCAGTGGAGACACTAAGGGCCAGAGCTCTTCCAGCACGGAACAGAATATGCGCTGCAGCAGGAGTGCAGAAACCGTGCTCAGAGAGCTATAGAGAGGCAGGAGGAAGTCTCTGGAGGTGGCTGGGCCTTGAATGATGGGGACAGACAATTTCAAAAGGACGGATCACAAGGAAGTATAAAATAATTGCAATGATGGCAGCAGGTCTTCCTTTTTTAAAATGGGGAAGGGGGGTTCTGGTCCCAATTCTGTCCCTTGTCGTGATCTTAGGCAATCATCTCAAGTTTCTGTGCCTCAGTTTTCTCATCTGTAAAACAGAGATAACAGTACCTATCACATAGCCACGTAGATTGTTGAGTAAATGTTAGTAAATATTACTAAGCACTTACCAACAACTCTGAAAGTAGATTTATCCACTTTACAGAGGAGGGAATTGGTGCCCAGATCGCCCATATTTATGGATTCAAGGCTGATAGGGGATTTGAACCCATATCTCCCCAACATCTTAGCTCATGACCTGCCCTCTATGTGTAGGAGGGAAGGAGAGAAAGAGGGCAGAATGGGACAAAGACGAGGCTTTCTGTCTGGATGGCTGGGGTAGATCTTGGCAGACCTGCTGAATCCAAGTCTGGCCCTTCACAGGATGGCTGTGATTTTTACCAAAAACACTGCACACAATCCTTTGTGAATATGTTCCACACAGGTCAGGTGGAAAAACCCGAAGCTAAAAGTTAATACTGGAATTTTTTCAACTCCATAATAAGAAGGCAGACAAGCCAGTATAAAGGGGGTGGAGGTACAAAAGGATTTTAAGACTTCAGAAAATATGTGGCCAATGAGCACATGAAAAGAAGCAACATCATTAGCACCAGGGAATGCAAATTAAAACCAGGAGATACCACTACATACACACTCACATGGCTAGAACCAAAAAGTAAAAAAAAAAGACAAATGTTGACTAACTGAACTCTCATACGTTGTTGGTACAAAAGGAGATGATACATTTTGGAGGAAGGACTGGTAGTCTTACAAAATTCAACATATTCCCTATCTGACCACTCCTAGCTTCCCAAGGGAAGTGATAAACAAGTTTACTGAGTAAACTGGTACAGCCAACTAGTTCGAATAACTAAAAACTTGATTGAGCTCAGGTATCCATCAACAGGAGAATGGAGAGGATGATACGTTCATAGAGGTATAATACACAGCCATGAAAATGGATGATTCTCAACAAATTATTCTTGTGAAAGAAGCTCCCACCAAAAAAAGCATATATATGATGATCTTTTAATATGAAGCACCAGAGCAGATGCTATTATAGAGAAAAATGACAACAGCAGTTGCCCCTGGAAGATAGGGGGAGGCAGGGGTTGACCGGAAGGGGCATCAGCCAGCTTTTGGGCTTTTAGGTGTGTTGTGTATCCTCATTGCTGTGTGGGTTAGACAGGTGTACGCATCTGTCAGGCTCTGAATGATGTGCACAGCACTTCAGATGTGCACAGTTCTTCATACAGTTTTACACCAAAAGAAGAATGCAAACAAATACTGAATTCAGTAAGCATGCGGAAATATTTAGGGAGAACTGTACTTATATCTGCAATTTACATAGAAATGTATTAAAGTATAAGATGAACTGAGGGATTTACCAATGTGATAAGCAAGTAGAGTAAGATGTGAGCGTGGCTCTAGGTAATGGGGGAACATGTTCGTTATAACAGGTAAACTTGCTGTTTGGAAGTTTTCATGGTCAAGGGACCACGGGGAGGGGGCTGGGGAGGACAGGGGTGTCGCTGTAAAACTGCACCCGAGAAACTGGTTAGGTCTAGGACGGAGCAAATGGAGGCCACAGAAGTGGAGGAGGGAAACGGCCTGCCACACCACCTCGCAGAAGCAGGCAACCCTTTCCAGTCTCAACTAGAGGCACAATGGCGGTGGTGGCATCCTGTATTATTAAGCACTTTCTCGTGGGTGGAATATCTCAAAGGGGGGCAGCTAGGGTCCTCCATGCAACCCTCTGCGAGGGAAGCCACCCCGTGCCCTCCCTGGAGTATACCCAGCAGCCCCAAAGGGCCCCGCCCGGCAGTCGCTCTGGTAACCGCGCCCCTGCTTCCGGGACGGCGCCGGAAGTCGCTTGTCTTTCGCTCTTCCTATTGGAGGCCGGCCTCCCCTGGGGGCGGGCGCCGCCGGGAGGCGGAAGCGGCCGTAGGCATGGCGGCGGCCGTGCGGCTTGCGCTGCTGGGGCTGCTGCTCCCGGGGCCGGGCGGCTGGGGGCATGCAGGACCCCCACGCGACAGCCTGCGGGAAGAGCTCGTCATCACCCCGCTGCCTTCTGGGGACGTAGCCGCCACATTCCAGTTTCGCACGCGCTGGGATTCCGAGCTGCAGCGGGAAGAAGGTGAGAGGATGAGACTGAGGAAATCTGCGGCACCTGCTGAGCGTGGGGTGGTGGCAAGCCTTGGGGGTGGGGCCTGAGCCCTGGCGGGGTTCTGGCCCCGAGGCTCGGGGTCCTCAGAGGGCTCCTTGGAGAGGGGTGGAATAGTTACTGAAGAATCCCTTTCTTCCCGCAGTGAAAATGAGCCCCATTGAGGGGCAGTCACACCTCCGACTCTTAATCCAGTGCTCTGCGCAGGTGCAGGGCACAGCTCTCTAACCCTTTCGTTAGAGCCCTCTGTTGATAATGTTGCTATTGGTGCTCACCATTTATCTTGAGTTCTAGGACAGTGCTGAGCTCTCTGAACCATTACAAAGAAGAAGTTGGAGGTGTAGAGAAGTTAAGACACTTGTTGAAAGTCACATCCCTAGTATATAACAGTCTAGCCTGGAATCCAGATCTCTCTCACCCCAGAGCCTGGGTTCTGCAGCTTCCATAGGGTGGCCGGGAACCCTCCCTCCAGGATCATCACTCATTTGCACCCCCCTTCTCCAGTTTCTCATTATAGGCTCTTCCCCAAAGCCCTGGGGCAGTTGATCTCCAAGTATTCTCTCCAGGAGCTGCACCTGTCATTCACACAAGGCTTCTGGAGGACTCGATACTGGGGGCCACCCTTTCTGCAGGCCCCATCAGGTGCAGAGCTCTGGGTCTGGTTTCAAGACACAGTCACTGAGTGAGTGCCCACCTTGAATCCTCTTGCAGGCTATAGAGACATTGTGGCTGGGGAAGGTCACTGGCCTGAGGGGAAGGTATGGTTGCCCTGTCACTGCCCCGAGGAGTAGCAGTTCCAGTGGGCAGCAGCTCCTTGGCGTGTAAGCTGGTGTTGGGAGTAAGACATACTGCCACCGGGTGGCATTCTTTACTTGGTTAAATGTACTTATTTCTTCATCTGAGGTAGCATCTGCATATCTCTCCAGATGATGCCGATAATAAATAATTGAAACTGTTTGGATGTAAAGCAATAGAAAACTGGCAAACTGGATCGCCCTTTATGGGACATTCATCCAAACAACAGTAACAATGATGATAATAATAAAATAATACAATGAGGGCCAAACAAGACATCTGTGGACTTCAGGTAGCCAATAAGAGGCCCGATCTTCACATTAGAGGAATTGCTTTCAGTAGAGAAGACAAGGTAGTGGGTCTAGGCACTGCAGTTGTTTCACGATTTCCTTTTGTCCCCACTCTGAGAAATCAGTAGCACCAGTATGATTTAAAAAACCGTCGAGGGCCATAAAAGGGAGTGGGAGGGCCAGCAGCAAGATAGAACTCGAGAGACAACTCCACTGTGCCCCCAGTGCGTCGTTGCCATGTGGGCATGGAGGCCGGCTCTCGCCAGATGCTCTCATTTTTCAAAGGAATAGCAGAAATCTGAATTTCAGTGTGAAAGTTGGCAAATTGAATGTCAGCAAGTAATTTAAAAATATAAGAAGCGCCGTGTGAGTCAGGGCTGTGCACACCAGTGAGCCATGATTCCGGTTTGGGCAGAACTTAAGGCTTCAAGTTTGCCATCTCTGTTTGAGAGTTGCCCACCTGCAGGCTGGGAGGGAGCCGGGGCAGACGGCCCCGGGACAGTGAGTGGGTTTGTGTCTCCCTCAGTGTGGATGAATCTTGGAAGGAGCTCAGTAACGTCCTCTCCGGGATCTTCTGCGCCTCTCTCAACTTCATCGACTCTACCAACACGGTCACTCCCTCTGCCTCCTTCAAACCCCTAGGGCTGGCCAATGGTGAGGTCACCCCACACCCCGCCCTTCTTCCTGTTCCCTCTTGCCCAGACCTTTGCCTCCTCTCCCCTTAGTTTCCTCCTTTCTCAGCTGGGCCGGATCATAAAGCCCCTGGGTGTGCAACCCAGAAACAGCTATCTGCATTGCCCTGTCCCTGGGAAGAGAACGAGCACCCCCCAGCCACCCCTGCCGGGACTCTTGAGGCCGTAGAGTTGTGCGGGAAGAGGGGAGGGCCTCTCCTCTCTAGAGTTTGCATCCTGAGGTGTGGGGGCCCAAGGCCTACCCCCACGGGCTGTGTCTCCCGCAGGCACTGACCACTACTTCCTGCGCTATGCTGTGCTGCCCCGAGAGGTGGTCTGCACAGAGAACCTCACCCCCTGGAAGAAGCTCCTGCCCTGTAGTTCCAAGGTAAGGCGGGGGTCTGAATGCAGGGGGGGGGCCTCTGAGAGCGGCTGGAGGTGCCCCTTTGATGCCTGACAGCTGCGGGACGTTTACAGATAACCCCGCTTCTGCCCAAGTGCCCGTAGCGCAGGGCACTGACCTTGCATCTCTCTGCCCCTCCAGGCAGGCCTCTCTGTGCTGCTGAAGGCGGACCGCCTGTTCCACACTAGCTACCACTCGCAGGCGGTGCACATCCGCCCTGTTTGCAGAGTAAGTTGGGAAGGGCAGGTGGGGTGGCACTGCCCGCACTCGGAGAGATGCGCCAGGTGAAGCACGTCGCCCAGGGTGGGTGGCCGGCCAAGCCAGCTGTGTGTGCTGACGGTCATTCGGGGCAGCAGGGACGCTGGGAGGGGGCCTGACTCGCTCAGTATATCTTTGTCGCGGAGCACAGCGGTTGGGAACAGTGCGGTGCCGCTGCCCGCTCGGCTGACATCACCTTGAGTGAATCATCTCCCTGGGCCTGGTTTGCTCATCTGGCACGCGAGAACAACGATCCGGAGCGCGGGGTTGTTGCTGTGTTTCACCCGGCGGTCCTTGTGAAGCTGCTTGTAGCGTCAGCCTGGTGGGAAGAGACACCACTGGCAGGGTTGGGGCCAGGGAGGCGACCCCCGGAGGTGTGGTTGGAGGACAGTTCCTCATTGCTACCACCGCCTTGTGGTAGAACGCCCGCTGTACCAGCATCTCCTGGGAGCTGAGGCAGACCCTCACCGTGGTGTTTGATGCCTTTGTCACGGGGCAGGGCAAGAAAGGTAAGGCCCTGGAAGTTGGTTCCTACCCACCCCTCGTCAGCCCGTCCTGCCTGTGCCAGCCAGGTCTCACCCCAGCCCTGTCCCACCTGCTCTCTGCCCCTCAGACTGGTCCCTCTTCCGGATGTTCTCCCGAACCCTCACAGAGCCCTGCCCCCTGGCTTCGGAGAGCCGAGTCTACGTGGACATCACCAACTACAGCCAGGTAACCGAGGCCCCAGGCTGCACGTTCCCCTCTCCCGCCAGCCCGCCCTCCACTCACCCAGCGGCCCCCCGTGTCTCTAGGACAACGAGACCTTGGAGGTGAACCCGCCCCCCACCACCACCTACCAGGACGTCATTCTGGGCACCCGGAAGACCTATGCAGTCTACGACTTGCTTGACCCAGCTACAATCAACAACTCCCGCAACCTGAACATCCAGCTCAAGTGGAAGAAACCCCCAGAGAATGGTGGGTGGCTAGTGGGCCGCCAGGCCACCAGGGGCCACAGAACGGCGCGTCTTGGGGCCCCGCCCCTCCCCCCAGATAGTGGGTTGTGCTCAGACCCAGGTCTCTGGTCAGACCTGCGGGTGTGTCATTCGCCCTTCTGAGCTCCACGACCTTGGGCAGGTTCTGTTGCCTCATCTGGAAAACAGGGGCAGTGAGACCTTGTGGATTTGGATGAAACAACTAATGTAACAGTTTTTTGCGAATTCCTTTAGTTGACAAGTGTTTCTGCAGACAGTTCGCCGCCCACTAGTCGAGGCGGGCCCCAGACCGTTGCGGTCGTGTCCAGCGTCACCGTGACAAGTATCCAGTGACGCGAGGGCGCCTCACTGGGGGTGGAGGGGCGCAGAGCCGGGCACCTCTCAGGGCTCAGTCAGTCGCAGCCATGCTGACCGCATCCTCGTGGGCTGGGGAGAGGGGTGGCTGGATACAGGCTCCCTGGCCCCTCCCTGGCTTTAAACTCGGGACGTGCCCCGGGGCTGGGTGGGCTGTGCCCTTTCCGACCTACTACCTGGGCTTTTCCCAGCAGAGGCCCCGCCCGTGCCCTTCCTGCACGCCCAGCGGTACGTGAGCGGGTACGGGCTGCAGAGCGGGGAGCTGACCACGCTGCTGCACAACACGCACCCCTACCGCGCCTTCCCCGTGCTGCTGCTGGACACGGTGCCCTGGTACCTGCGGCTCTACGTGCACACGCTGACCATCACCTCCAAGGGCAAGGACAACAAGCCGAGTGAGCTGAGCCTCGAGCGCCCCTTCCAGCCTGCTCTCTCGCAGGCCCTCAAGCCCCTGCCTCTCAGGGTCCTTCTGAGCCGCCCCTGAACACCACACAGCCAGAAGAGCGAGCGGCAGTCTGGGAAACACAGCTAGCCCCGGGGCGGGTGCGCGGGGCATTTGCTACCCAAGACATGAGGCCTCCGGCAGAGGCGCTGGGAGCCGTGCTCTCCGCCTTATCCTCTGCTGCTCTCTCTTCCTGGCTCTGGGCACAACCTTTTGTCTTGTGGTGACTCGTTGTAAAGAAAGAGTCAGCCAGCAAGTCAGCCCTGGAAGTGGAAAAGGGAGCAGGGCTGCAATCCCCGGGCCAAGAGGCGCCTTGGCTTCAGCTTCCTCTCTGTGTCCTCCTGTTCTTCTGAAGGGCGCTGCTCTTTGCTGAGTCCTTTCCTCTGGTGCCAGGCGGCCACTCGGTTCTCTGTGCAGTGGAGGTGACTGGTGAGGAGGAGAAGGATTCACCGGGTTGGGGGGTGACCGCTTACTCCCCAGTGAGGCCTCAGGCCTCTGCACTCCCGTGTGGAGGCCGCATCAAGCCGCGCACCAGGGTCTCTTCAGACCACTGTCTGCCCCCTTCGACATCTCTTCTCCGAGCATCTTTTATATCTGGGGGGTTTTTCTTTTCTTTTTACTTTTTTTTCTGGACAAGTTCACATACCTCAGTGGAATCATACAGTAAATTCCAAGGCACCTACCGCCCAGCCCCGGCAGCCTCCAGGCGTCTCCTCTTTTTCTGCTGCAGTGTCTTAAAGCCCAGACATCTGTGTTCAGCTGCAGATACTTCAGCATGTATCTCCACTAGGCGAAAGACTAGTGGATCATTCCTGGTTTCCCCTGTATTTTAGAAATACCGTTCCGTGATGGGGTTGTTCAAGTTGGGATCTAAACAGGGCCTTTGCGGGGCATTATTTTCTCGCTTGAAGGAAAAATTAATGGACTTTATCTTTCTTCAGCTGTTTCAGGTTTATAGAAAATCTGAGCACAAAGTACATCATTCTCCTAAACTCCCTGTCTCCACCCCACCCCGTCATTAGCCTCGTGCTTTAGTGTGCTGCTGTAAGATCTTTTCATCTATAACAGCTTCCACTTTTGAAAGACAACCCGTTGGCTGGAGGAGCTGGTCGTCTGCTCTGCACTCTGCGCTCGTCCTAGTCTGTGTCTCGGCTGTGCCTCCCTCCCCTGCCTTTCTCGTGTATTGCTGCTTCGATCTAGAGGCTTGATGAGGTTCAGGTCCCGTATTTTTAGCAAGTCAGCCTCCCAGGTGGACTTCCTGTTGCAGCCTGTCTGTCATCTGGAGCCCCAGTTTTGCGATGTAGAAATTGATGAGCTTGAGCATGTCCCGGGAGGGCTGCCCTGGAAACCTCTTTGCCCTTCCGGAGGCCCCATTCCCTTCCTGAGCCTGTGGCTTCTAGCAGGCACAGCCGCCATCTGGGCACCCGGCTCCAGGCCCCAAGGCCTCAATACGTAGGGGCCGGGGTGCCAGTCCCCTGGCCGCAGACGAGGCCAGGCTGACCGCCGCCTGCCCCCAGGTTACATCCACTACCAGCCCGCCCAGGACCGGCTGCAGCCCCACCTCCTGGAGATGCTGGTCCAGCTGCCGGCCAGCTCGCTCACCAAGGTCTCCATCCAGTTTGAGAGGGCACTGCTCAAGTGGACCGAGTACACCCCGGACCCCAACCACGGCTTCTATGTCAGGTGCGCTTCACCCGCCCTACCCGTGGCCGGGGAGCCGGAGGGGAGCGGGGGCTCACGGGCACCTGTCTGCTCCTGCGCAGCCCATCGGTCGTCAGCGCCCTCGTGCCCAGCATGGTGGCAGCCAAACCCATGGACTGGGAAGCGAGCCCCCTCTTTACCTCCCTGTAAGTGGGACCCCGACTGCCTGCTTCAGGGTGCGCGCCAGCAAGGGGAGGCGCGCTGGGGCGGGCTGGGCTCGCGCTGCCTCTTCCGAAGTAGTGTGCGGATTTAACACGGTCTAGTAAAATGCCTAGTGATCTGCATTTGGGTAGACTAAACAGGGATCCTGAAGTGCTTCTAGAAAAATCGGTGGGTGAGAAGAGCAGTACTTTTCTAGTGCACATTTGCTTCCTGGAGCAGTTACTGAGTGCCAGGGTCCTGGCCGGTTTGCTCCTGCACTGCCAGCGTTGGGCTGAGAGGGGGTTCTGTTCTCTTCTGGACAGACATGGGGCCAGGGTGGTGTTGGGGAGGGATCTGGCAGGGTACCCAGGAGAGCGGCCTTCGGCTGGCACCAGAAGGCGATGGCAGCCCCCTGTCCACTCCTGAGCTGGCCCCAAGCTGCTTGACACTGGCCAGGCTTGCGTGCTGGGCTGTTCTGGTGAGGGGCTTTGAGGGGAGGAATCGTGGACACCCTGCCCAGGGATGGGCCCCGCGGCCTGGGGTGGGGGCGGCTGAGATGGGAGGAGCAGCGGGTTCGGCCTCACCCCTCCTTCTGGCACCAGGTTCCCCGTGTCCGACAGCTCTGGCTACTTCGTGCGGCTCTACACGGAGCCGCTGCTGGTGGGCCTGCCCACGCCCGACTTCAGCATGCCCTACAACGTGATCTGCCTCACGTGCACCGTGGTGGCCGTGTGCTACGGCTCCTTCTACAACCTCCTCACCCGAACCTTCCACGTCGAGGAGCCCAGCGCCGGCGGCCTGGCCAAGCGGCTGGCAAACCTTATCCGGCGTGCCCGCGGCGTGCCCCCGCTCTGAGGCGCCCCTCGCAGCCGGGGGGGCCACACTTCCCACCGCTCGCCCGCCCGCTGGCCTCCGAAGCAAACTGCCCAGACAGGGCCGAAAGCTGTGCCGTCCAGCGTAGGAGTCGTGAGCCCGATGTGGCGTTTGTATTTAAATGAATTTAACCTAAAAAAACTCATCTCCTCAGTTGGACTTGCCACATTTCAAGTGCCCAGTAGGCAGAACTAGCTAGTGCTACTGTACTGGACATGGGGAGCACCTTTCCAACACCCGAGAACTATACTGGACAGGGCGTGCTGAAGGAGCCACCACCGTGTGGTGGATGGAGTTTACTAGTTAGGGAATAAAAAGTGGTTTCTTCCTTGGTCCTTTGCCTCCCGTCCTTGAGTCCCAGGAAGAGTTGATGACCAGGGCTCGTTTGCTGGTGTTTGGGCAGGACCTTATACCCTCTTCTCCACCTCCCCCCCCAAAAAAGCACACAAAGCACCTCCACCCCCCCCTCAAATTCCTTCTCATCTCTGTGTCCCCCTCTCCTGCCATCCTCATTTCACCTTAATTCCCTGCCCCTGAGAACCAGCTCCCAGCCCCAGGGGTAGAGCTGGGAGCCCCCGTGTGGGTCCTAGCCAGGCGCACCGGTGAGCTCCCTGCAGGCCCGAACCCTGCCGCCCCGGGAAAGGTGCCTTTGCTGAGGGAATCTTTCCTTCTGCTGATCTTACCCTCTGGCTCTGCAGTCCTTCCTGCCTGTGCAGGTCCCAAGTGTACGGGGTGCTGTCCATGTCCATCTCCAGTCCTGCACCCCCACTGCAAACATGCCCACCCATAGCTGGCTCAGCCTGTGTCATGGAGGCCGCATCACCAGTCCCCCAGACCCCTACCCTTGGAAGCAACGAAGTTCTCTCCCACACCCCGGGCGTGTTCCCCCATTAGTCTGTTGTACTCTGCCTTCAAAACAAGTGCAGGCTCCGACGCCTATGGCGGGAGAGAACACCGCCCCCCCCCGCCCCGCCAGCTCTCACCTGGCCGCCGAGTTACACTGACAGAAGACAGATGAACAGGGAGAGAACAAAGTGCATTTCTTACATGTGTTGGCCACAAAGGTAGCCCAAAGGCAAGTGAGACCAAAGCAGGTTTAGAACCGTCCTGAGCTTAGGATGGGCTGGGGCCTGGGCCTCCGGAGGGGGCCACGGTGGACAGGGGCCCGGGCCTCCCGGGGGGCCACATTGGACGGGCCCAGGCCTCCCGGGGGCCACGGTAGACGGAAAGAACACGAGTTTATTAATGAGAGGTCTGGCCCCTGCCACAGCCAGTCAGATGAAATCGGGTAGCATCTTGGATGCGAGTTGTCTGCTGGGGCCAGGCCCTCATCTAACATGCTTAGCTAATAAGGGTGGTCAGGGTTTTCCTGAGCCTGCTGGGTCTTTCTTGATCTTCACCTCAGCATAATCCTTGCCTGCCTAGGCCATTCTTTTCCGCAGAAACCCCTCCTTTTAAATGTAAAGATAAAGCTGCACCTCAGAGTATGCTTTCACCAAGCCACCCTCAGTCATCCTGGGGCCTTCCCGGGCACCCCTCCTCTTCACGATAGCCACCCCAACCTCAAGCTTGCTATTCCCAAACTCCAGAGTTCTCTACAGCTACACTAAGCGTCTTACTTGTTTATTGACGATCTAGCTGCAGAAAGACGGGGACTTTTGTCTTGACCTGCGGCCCTGGCCAGTGGTTTGCACCCAGTCACCAGGGAATGACTGTCAGGCAGGGATGTGGCTGTTGAGCAGGCCGCTCGCTCACTCACCTGAGACCCGAGCCTTGACACTCGTGCTGTGTGGTGCCAGGACACACCTCCCTTACCCTGCTGTCTGGCCTGGCCCTTGCCACTTGGGCTCCTTGCGGCCCTGTGGGTGGAAGCCTGGGCACAGCCCTCACCAGGAGGGTTGGCAGGAGGCAGCGGCATGGGGAAGAGTCAGGGCTCAAGGCCAGGTCCGGCAAGTCCCCAGCGCACTGGGGTCCTCACGCTTGGCTCAGAGCTGGGCTCTCTGGAGTGGGATAGCACTGAGGGAGAGGGGCGGCCCCTCGCCTCCGAGACCCCCAGGAGAGCAGGGAGGAATCACTGAGGGGCTTGTGCAGGCCGAGCTGGCAGCAGAACCCCAGTCTCCGTGTCTTCCCTCCACACCAGGGGCAGATCCACGAAACAACTGTCTGTGCCCTGGGTGGAGCCTCTGAGCTCTGCCCGTGTGGCCAGGATGCAGTGTACCCCACTCTCCCTGAAGACATGGAGAGAGCTGGCTTTGGGGTCAGGCAGGCTTGGCGCAGCCACACCGGGAGAGAAGAGCCTGGCCAGGTGCTCTTGGAAAGCTCAGCGGGGAGTCAAGGGACTCCCCAAATGCAACCCACCTCCAGCTACTGGGGACAGGGTGGTGGGCCTGAGCCCGCACCCTGCAGTGGAGGGAGGGGTGTGAACACCTGTGAGCTGGCTGGAGATGTCAGCCCTGCCCAGAGGCAGGTGGGTCAGGAAGGGGCGAAAGGCGCTCCCCGAAACCTTGGCGGTTCCAGACTCCCCACCTCAGCTTGGGCTCCTTAACACCTCCTAACTCTGCCCAAGCCTTAATCGAGCCCCTGAGCCTTTCTGAGCACCCCAATCCTGTGCTCACCCTACCCACACTGGAGCTGCACAGCCCTTCATGTGCTTGTTCATTCACTCGCTCAGTCACCCACACTCCAAATCATCTTTCCTTCCTTTGCATTTATTATCCATCAACCATCCACTCACTCAACAAATCTCTCTCTAGGAGCTGCCACATGCCAAGTTGTTGTAGACACCAAGAACCCAGCAGTAAAAAAGAAAGGAATCCCAGGTGATCAGATGCTACCATGCAGCAGGAGAGACCAACAATAAAACACTTACACAATTTCTGCTGGAGTTATGTTCCTTGAAATAAAGTGATTAGCGCTAGAGAGGTGAGAAAGCCTTTTCAGAAAGTAGAGCCAGGTGATGGAGAAAACCATGAAATAGGGGAAGCTGTACTCAGAGGGGTTGGCAGATACAAAGCCCATGTGGCAGGAGCTCCTTCGTGTGTTTGAAAAACGAAAGTGTGACGGCAGGAACTTAGAGGGATGGGGGGGGCGGCTTGGATTTGGCAGGAACCCTGCAGCCCAGGTTTTACTCTGTGTTGGCGGTGAGCTAAGGAGTAATGAGATCTGACTTAACCTTTATCTCTGTTTACATGCAAGCTAATGCACAGAACGGGGCTGTAATTCTCGCTCAAGACACGCTCATCGTTGGTCCACACAGGGCCCTGGAAGGTGTGTTATCCACCCACATGCTCGCATGAGAGTGCAGGAAGACCCAGGACGGCCAGCCCTCAGGAAGTGCAGCTGACTGACTAGGTGTCTACAAGATCACACCAGCTGCTGTGAGGAGAATGGGCTGTGGAGGGTAAGAAGGCACACGGGAGACCACAGAGGCGTCAAGGAGGGGTGTGGGTGGCCGCCGAGAGATGATGGGAGGTTGAGTAAGCGTGGGGAAAGGAGACCCCGGGACCACTATTGGCCTGCGGGTGGGTGCGTGGGGCCTATTCGTCAGCCACTCGAGGATTAATTCACTAATGAATCACTCAGTGCTGGCTGGCGAGTCATCACTCCGTGAGACCTTTGCAAAAGATGCTGTTATATGTGGTTGCACGTTGCCATGTCCACGCTGTTACTGGGATAGGGCATTAGAGTTGCGGGCAGAGATGGATAAGCACACCCCTAACGCATGGACAGGGGGCCCAGCGGCCCCAGGGGAGGGGTCACTCACATTCTGGTTGATGAGAGCAAAATACTCTGCTCTGACTTTGACTTACATGGAGCAGGTGTTTAGTTCTTGTCTCATCTCTTGAATTGACCTGACCTTCTCATTAAACTCCCTGTCATGTATTCATATTTTCTACTTTAAAATGAATATTTAAAAATAATGTAATAGTTTATTTTTACATCATTTTGTGCCTTTTTCCATCTCAGTTGTAATCCCCGGGGACTTCCCAACACCAAATCACCCGTGTGAAAATAAATATATTTTTAAAGCTACGTATGCTTCAGAACACAGAAACTATTTCAAGTACCAGTCAGACCTGTTTATCCTCAGGTCTCCCTGGTGGCCCAAGGGGTTAAGTCTCAGCACTATGAAGCTGTCCACAGCCACTGCAGCACGAGTTCGATCCCCAGCCAGGGAGTTGACCCACAGGGCACAGCAGACCTCTCCTGTCTCCCCCTGCGCCCCTCAGGGATGTATTTCAGAGTATTTCTGCCTGTTCTGCTCCCCACTCTGTATCTGGTGAGTCCTCTCACCCCCACACCTCTCGCCTGTACCCCATTCTTATATGCATAAAAAAATAAATTATAAGAAAAGGTGATCCTCACTAAATCTTCCCAGGCGCTCAATCTCTGGGTTAGAACAGAGAGCAGGGAACAAGGGGGACATATGGCCTCTCAAAGTTCTGTTATATTTTATATATTACATATGTATTTAAGCGTGTATCCACACACCCGTAAGTGCATCTATTCGTGTCTAAGTGTTCCAAGACCCCGAGGTCCAGGGCATGTTCCACTTGAGATTCCAACCTCGAGCCAAGGGCCAGGCTGGCTGCTCAGCCTCCTGCTGATTCCACACCCTCCAGTCACCTAGTGGGGATACCAGGCTACGTGAAGGGTGGGGGGCGGGGGGAGGGGACCCAGGATAGAGCCAGGGCCAGGGCATAAAGTTGCCCTCGGGCATAAAGTTGACACGATCTCATATTTTTGAAAATGCCCGAGTGGTGCCCCGCCATGTATATAAGCCACAGCTTCCTCCACCAGCGCTCCACAGCATTCAGCTGGCCGCCGCAGCTGGGTTACTGTCACCGGGCTGCGGCGGCCATAGGAGCATGTCCCTGACGCGTGTCGGAGTCACTCTCCAACTCTTCCAGAGCTAGTGCTGGGCTCCCTCCTCAGTTTTTGTTTGCCTGGGGACATCTTTATTTCTCCCTCCTGTCTGAAAGAGAATCGTGAAGGCAGCGTGTTCTTGGCTGCCTGTTTTCATCTGTAAGTACTTTCTTTGAAGATTTATTTTAATTTATGTACGTGTACAACAGCTGGGGTGTAGGCCAGAGGTGAGGGGGTGAGTGGATTCACCAGAGATAGAGTAGGTGGATCCACTGGAACACACTGCTGAGGGGAGCAGCGGGGAGACAGGCGAGGTCTGCGGCACCGTGCAGGCCACTCACTCCCTGGCTGGGGACTGAACTCCTGCTGCAATGGCTGTGGAGAGCTCCACAGTGCTGGCTTTAAGCCCTTGGGCCACCAGGGAAGACCCATGTTTATTTATTTTTGTTTTAAAGATTTTATTGCTTTACAGCATGGGAACAACTCAAACGAATGCGAAACACAACATCTCTAAATTCTCCACTTAGAAAACCAGACTTGCTCTGACTCTTGAAATGCATCTATTTGTTCAAGCTGCAACCCACAGGCCCAGCAAGAACTCAAACCGTCTCAAGTAGAATCGATATTTAAAGAGACAAAGGAGACTATCAACAAACATCCGCCTGTGCCTATCTGTCATTAAAAGCCTTTTCTGCTCAGGGTCCAGTTTGGGTCCCGAGCCAGGTGAAGCCCCTAAGACCTTCTTGCTGTCCACAGACTCTTCTGTTCTAAAATCAAGAAAGTTGTTCTAAAATCCAGCAGTGCGTAGTGACTTAGGCTCAGCTCTACGCCCTTCCTCACAGTGGAACATTTGATCGGTCCTTAACTCAGCCTGGTAAAAAGTTCTGGAAGCAACACCAGCTATCCCTCTGCAGACAGGAAGCCCACAGTGGCGCGGCACGGCTGATGATTCGCAACCCTCCTAAACCCTGGGTTAAGTCACCATTTCAATTCTACAGTAATAGGTGACGTGGCGAGTATTCTTAGTGCTTGACGAAGTTTGAGAAAGGCTGTGGCTGGACCTTGTGGCCCTGAGCAGATACAGCAGGCCGGGAGATGAAGCCAAGCAGGACAGACCTCAGCTCCTCCCCTTCCGCAGGCCCCTCAGGGCCTCTGTCCCCAGCGGGCGCTTGAAAAGCTGTCCCCCAGGTCTCCTCAGGATCAGCCATCCAGGCCCCGAAGATGAGGCCCTCCGAACTGTCCACTGCTTCTCGTCCACCTGCCTGTAGTGTGAACCGTCACGCAGGGTGCTGAAACACAAAGCCTCGGCCTGGGTCAGTGCTCCCTCCCTCTGCAGGTGGGGCTGAAAGCCAGGGGCGAGTGTGGAAAAGGCTGGAGAGCCAGGAGAGGAGAGCCAGGCTCTCTCCGCAGTCTTCCTGGAAGCTGTGAAGCTTCAACTCCAGGGACATCTTTTCCTGCCTCTAAACTGATGTTTCGGTGATTTTAGAGAAATCACTGTCTCACAGCCCACCAGTCCTGGACCCTCCTCTGAGACGCATTTCTGGTCTCTCTCTGCCTGAGCCTCCCAGTAGCGTAACAAAAGGATAAATAAATGAACCTTGTTCAGGCTCTTGGCCCAGGCCTCTTAAAGCTGGTGCTGGTTGGTTGTGTTTTGTACTTTAATGAGCTGCTAGTCGGTGATTAGAGGTGATCAGAACTTTCCACTGCCTCTCCCCCCCACCCCCCATAAGGAGCCTGAGTATAAGCACCTAAGATTTGATCAATCATGCCTTTTTAAAAAAATTTTAAAAAAGATTTATTTACTTATGCATATAGAAACTGGGATACAGGCCAGAGGTGCAGGGGTGGTGAGAGGCTTCACCAGAGACAGAGTGGGGAGCAGAACAGGCAGATCGACGAAGCACACTGCTGAGGGGAGCAGCGGGCGGGTCAGGAGAGGTCTGCCGCGCCCTGTGGGTCACCTCCGGGGAAGGCGGGGATCGAACTCATGTGGAAGTGGCTTAAGCTTCTTTGTGCTGTGCTTTAACCCGTTGCACCACCAGGGAGGGCCCCAGTCATGCCTTTGCAGTGGAAACTCAATCAAAAGCCCTGTGCGTGGGGGTTCAGAGAGCTCCCGTGTTGAACACATTAGCTACAGTGAGGTTGGTGTGTCCAGAGCAGGTGTGGGTCTCTGTGCCCCCCTCAGGTAACTCCCCCATTTGGCTGTCCCTGAATTTTGTCCTCAGTTTAGAACAGCCCCTCCCCAAAATGTGCCACTTGAGCTCCGAATTTTTTATAGACTGAAGGCAGTGTAAACACAGCAGGCTCAAGTTAAAAGTGTACCTCTCCTTTAATTACCTAAAGAATTTAACCAGACGGTCTGGCCCAGGGCAATAACTAGTCTCAGAATTTCGTATCTGAGTGACCGCCTTGCGCGGGTGAGAAACCTGGGTCCTTGTGGCCCCCTTCAAAGACCCGGGCCCCTTTTCTGTCCCTTAGGTCAGGACGGCAGGGAAGTCTCAACAGTCTGCCTTGCCTGTATGCCTCATTACATGCCATTATGCATAATGAATCACGTTACCTACGAACCTGGCCTGAACAGAGGGTGTGTCAGGTAAGAACCTGGAGAGTAGGAGAAAAATTCCCTCTCCTCCCCTCGAGTACGCTTAAGCTTTGACTTACAAAAGTCATCTAGAATTATTGTAACTAGGGAGAGGCTGTGCGGATGTATATGTGACTCCCCTCCAGTCCAATTCTCTTTTTCCGAGCACCACCACGCAATTCTGTTCTCAGCAGACGTTGAGAACCTGTGGGGTAGGTTCTAGATCAGGAATCCCCTCCACTCCTTCCTCGGGTTCTATGTGCTAGAGAAATAGTTCACTTGTGGGTTTTTATAAAGGATGCAGCTCAGCCAGAGGGTGGAGATGCAGAGCCGGGGTGTGGGAAGAAGGAGGTGCACCCCTGCCCACCCGGGCACTGGGGACCCCAGGCTCTCCATGTGCCCACAGCCTGAAGCTCTCCGAGCCCTGTCCTTTCGGGGTTTTATGGTGATTCCATCCCACATGCAGCTGGTCAATCAGTGTCATCAGTAGCTGAACTAGCTTCTCTCTACTCCCTCCCCCTGTGTCCCAGGGGAGGTAGCTGGCCTCTGCGGGCCAGCGTGGACAGCGGTCACTGCTGGGCGTGTCCTCGGAGACCATCCAAACTATCCCACGTGCTCCCCTTCTGCAGACGGGGTCTGCCTGCTCCTGAACCCCAACACCCCGGCTGGCAACGCGCCGCCTTCTTGCCATCGGCCAGGATGTGGACCGGACCTTGGTCGTTCACTTCTCGGTGGCCTGGTATTGTCAGGGCTTCCAGTGTGCAGATCACGGGCTTCGGCGGTGACTGTCAACAAGCTCCTTTCTTGCTGCAGGGATCCCCACACCTGTGCTGCCCCAAGATACTGGCACTGACAGCCCCACACGAGGCCTGCTGGCTGCCCTGGGGACACCCCAGGCTCCTCCCTGCTCCCTCTTCTGCAAACCTGCCAAGAAGCCGAACCTTCCGCCCAGTTGTTACTCGGTGTTTTTTAGTGACGCCTGGTTCCCAAGAGCAGGAACCGTGAGCCTTGGTTTTCAATCACTTCATCTCTAACAGCAAACACAGTTCCCTGCGCTAAGAGACGATAAATATTTGTGGAATGCATGAAGGCACAAGCACGTCTCTCCCCTGGCCTGACTGTAAAGCTCAAGACCCGAAGCCAGGACCCACCATCCTTGGTTCTTTGGGGTGACAGCAGTGGATTTGTGACATCGGGGCTGAACACCAGTGGTGGCAGGAATAGTTCCACTAAATGTGAGTAACCAAAACTTGTGGTTTGAGGTGGATTTGCTGGCTTGAGGTGGGTTTGTTGTCTGTGCCTTGTGGGCCCAGCCTGACTCGTGGGCCCAGCCTGAAGCGCGGAGATGGGACCAGCCCACTGCCCTGTATGTTGTAAAAGTGTGAATTTTCATAGAACTGTGTCTTAGGTTCAAGTTGCACACAACAGAATCCACCCAGTTTTGATCTTGTTCCCCTCTCCTCCCTCATATAATGTCTCTGGTGTATAATTGTTAGCTGATGTTCTTTATTACTTTATTACAATTACTATATATATATATTTTTTTTTTTTCTTCTCCCTTATACTCCTGCTATGAGTGAAGCCATCCAGTGTTTTTCTTTTTCTTTTTGGCTTATTTCACTAAGCATGATCCCTTCCAGCTCCATCCATGTTGCCGCAAATGGCACGAGTTTATCTTTTTGATTGCTGAGTAATATTCCATTGTGTGCATGGGTCACGTCTTCTTGATCCAGTCGTCTATTTTTGGGCATTTGGCTTGATGCCACATCTTACCTATTGCAAATAGAGTGGCAATAAACGCTGGGATGCAGGGGTCCTTTTGAATTATTGTTACTCTTGCTTAATATGTGTCTGCTGTGCTCAAGAAGGAGCAAATAGCCTGGTTTGTAGGGCCACTACCTGGAGGTGTACCCAGTGCCCAGGAAGTGCCATAATTTCTCCTCCAAGTGGGTCCCTCTTGCTCGTCCCATGCCCACCCCAATGTGCCCTTTTTTTGGTCCCTGGTTTCTGAAAAGTCTGGGGGAGAAATGGGGTTGATTTCAGGTTCTCTTTGGGACAAGACGCCTTAGTCGGTAGGAATCACTGGCTAAGAAAGGCCCTGCCTGCCCCCTGGTGGCAGCAGGGAAGATGTATATTCTCATATGTGTATATATTTAAGATTTACCTATTTATGCATGCAGAAATGGGGTACAGGCCAGAGGTGCAGGGGCAGTGAGAGGATTCACTGAGACAGAGTGGGGAGCAGAACAGGCAGATCGGTGAAAGTACACTGCTGAGGGGAGCAGCGGGCGGGTCAGGAGAGGTCTGCTGCGCCATGTGGGTCTCCAGCTCTGGGGCAGGCGGGGATCGAACTCAAGCTGAGGTGGCTTTAGCTTCTCAGTGCTGAGCTTTAACACGCTGCACCACCAGGGAGGGACACTCCACATGTATATTTAATGTGTCTTTCTAGGACAGTATTTGTTGCCACACAAAATCAAACTTTCTTTTTTTAGTAAGGAGGAGAGGGGAATGCCTATTGTGTATCTGTGTGGTAATATCTTCACTGTTTCTCTTTCTGTGGCGACCGGGCAAAGGAACCCCAACGCTTGGCTTTATAAGGCCAAGTCAAAATATTTTCAGGCTCCATGAACTGGTGGGGACACAGACACGAGGTGTTACTGGTCTGGAATTTGAGGCTGTCTAGGCATGAGGGTGAAGTGGGACCAGAAGACAGAGCCCCGGGCACTCAAAGTGCATTTGTCAATAGCTATTGATCAAGTCTTGGCACTGTCGTGGTTGCTTGGCAAAAAAAAAAAAAAAAAAAAACAACTTCTTAAAGTTGACTTTAGGAGGCTAGAAAGACAATCTTGATGCTATGAAGGAAAACCCTGAAATTCAGCGATTAAATGACTCATACACATTCGCAGAACTAGGGAGAAGTGTCTTGAGATTCAGATCTGGTGTTGACTTCTATCTTGGTTCTTGACTGTTCTTGTGGGCTGGGATGTCGGAGAGTTGTGCCTGTGGCGAAGCATGTGCTGGGTGGTTGTTCTTCTTCCCCTCCCTTGCAGATGGTGGGTTAGCCTCAGTAATTTATAGAATCTATTCTAATTCCGTTAGGCTAGTTGGTCCCTTAGGGTTATGCAAAAACACTGCCAGTTCCCCCTGGTGTGAGCTAGCAACTGCTTTATTACTTATGCAGTGGGTGCTGGTCAGGGTTTTGTATGGAACAAGTAGCTTCCTGTAGCTTCCAGAAAGCACAGGTGGGGTTATAGAGGCTTTGCCTGTTCCTCCATATCTGCAATCCTGGTGTCTCAAGGACACAATGCACAAGACTGTGTCCTTGGGGCAGCCTCTAGGAACGCATCCCCAGAGTGGTGAGAAGCCTCCTTCCCTCCCTCCCTCCTTCCTACCTTCCTTCATCAGTTAGTCTTCCCTCCCTCCTTCCCTCCCTCCCTCCCTCCCTCCTTCCTACCTTCCTTCATCAGTTAGTCTTGGTTGTATTCATCCCCTGGCAACCAATAGCATTAACTGAGTTAGTTTAGCTCGCAGAACTGAAGGGAAGTCTAAAAGGAGCTAACGTGGGCACTTCCATACATGTGCAGTTTTTCTGTCATTCATTGCTCGTTTAAAATTCCAGGGAAAACAACGGACTGGCCATCCTTTGTCTGGGGATGGGGCAAGCACTAGGCCTGACAGGCTTCTCTGGCCGCCCTGTCCTAGGTTTAGGAAGTCAAACCCCAAGCAAATCAGGTACTTAGCAGGAAAACGAACAAATGGATGTTAGATGATGAAACAGCAAAATAACCAACACTCAAAGAGAGAGGTTTCCCTGGAATGAAGGGTGTTTGGGTGGGTCTAACAGTTCAAGAGAACAAAGCTCCATTGTCCAGTTGAAGACTTTGTTGTTCCTGTTCTGTTCCTGGGGAGCTCTCCCCTCTTCAGTATTAACTTGTTTACAGTGGGCACGTCACCGGTGATTCATCTCACCACTGTTGTAGACCTTTCCTTCTTCCCTTTCTTTTCTATTTCCCTTCTTCCTTGAGAAATATCTTCATATGCTCATGAAGTCATGTTCAAAAGTTCTGAGTGTTATCTCTTAACATCAGTGCGTGTGTGTGTGTAAAACACTGAAGTCATTGGAATCATAGAAGTTTCTTCCTTCTGATTTGCTGTCTGTGTTTCCTTCAACAAGTCAGTTGGCCTGGCTGAATTGCAGTTTTCATCTCTAAATTGGGGAGATTGGTCCTTAATTTGTAAGACTGTTAAATAAACAAAGGGCCCTCCTGGGTGGTGCAAGGCGTTAAAGCACGACACTATGAAGCTGTCCGCAGCCCCTGAAGCACAAGTTCGATCCCCGGCCAGGGAGGGACCCACAGGGCGCAGCAGACCTCTCCTGTCTCCCGCTGCTCCCCTCAGCAGTGGATTTCACTAGATTTACCTGTTCTGCTCCCCACGCTGTCTCTGGTGAATCCTCTCACTCCCCCCCACACCTCTGGCCTGTACCCCAGTTCTTGTGTGCATAAATAAATAAATCTTAAAACCAAATACTTTCAAGCACCTTTTACTGAATACTTGCTACATACTCACCCAGGCTGTCACAGTTTTGTCTATTTTTGAGGTCATAATTTTAAATCTCCTCCAGGCAAGTAGTGTAGTAGCGTGATCAGCACGGAATGAGGACATGTGAGGCCTTAGGGAGGGTGGGTCTGTGGGGACCTGAAGCTGCCGACCAGAACAGCTCTCCTGAGCTAGCGGGGGCTTTTTAATAGGGTCCTTTGACCTGTCGGAAAAGCAGCTCCTGGACATCTGTGTGCACACACATTCTCAGGCCCCCCTCCCCCGTTCTTCTGAATCTGGGGGTGAAGACCTTAAAATCTATGTTTTTACAAGTCCCCCAAGTAGTTCTTGCTGCAAACTCTAGCTGATGGTGGCTGCATATGGTCACAGGGTGGGTTTGCCAGAGCGTTTACTTTTTCCAAAAGAAGCTACAAATTAATTTTTATGTGAACTCCCCCCACTTTTAAATCTTGGCACCTAATTCAAATTTTCAATATTGTACGATGTGAGTTAATAATGTGCATGCACACACACACACTTATTCTAGCCAGATTTGCAACGTTTAGCTTATGCTTTCCCGCTTATTGATGAAAACAATCCTACAGTGTAATTATGCTCGATCCCTTTTAGGGAAGGAGACATAAGTCCAGGAGCGAAGAGCTGTTACAAGTCACCAGTCCCCACATGGTCAGCCTCCAGTGCAGACCTGAATATATCTGCCTTTCCAGCCTCTGCCCTTCAAATTTTTCACATAGAAGAGAAAATATGTGGGCCCTCCCTGGTGGTGCAATGGGTGAAAGCACAGCCCTGCAAGTGAACCATGGCCACTTCTGGTGAGTTCGATAATCGGCCCAGAGGTGACCCCCAGGGCGCGGCAGACCTCTCCTGACCCGCCCGCTGCTCCCCTCAGCAGTGGGCTTCATTTTCTGCCTGTTCTGCTCTCCACTCTGTCTCTGCTGAATCCCCTCACCGCCCCTGCACCTCTGGCCTGTACCCCATTTCTGTATGCACAAATAAATAAATCTTTTTTTAAAAAAAAGGGAAACTATACTAATGTACTTCGCACAGCCTGGCATGAAAGCCTAGCACCTTTGCTTGCTATGGGCCGTTGACATGAAATTTTCTTCTCCATCCTTCTGCCCACTCCATCCTCTTGGCCTCAGACAAATCTACATTCCTGTAACAGTCAACCAGCGGGAAAGCCAGGAAGGGCAGGGACAGGGGAGAGTCCAGGCAGTATCCTGGCCTGGGGAGCCAGGTCAATCCAGAAGAAAGCTGCGGGCACCAGAGTCCTGGGCTCACTGTCCAGCAGCCAGCTGCACTCGCAGGCTAAAACCGGCTCTCGTCACGTGTCCTCTGGGTGCCCAGACTGAGTTTCAGAGCCGCTGCTGTGTCCCCACCTGGCTCCTGCCTCGTTGCTGTTGACTGTTCTCTGAGCTCAGAGTAAACAGCCCGGGCCTCTCCCAACGACGGCATGTCTCAGTCCCCGGCTGGACCCGGGAAGCTGGGGGAGGTTTTCTCAGCCTCCTCCACCATCAGGGGGCACAGCCCTGCTCCCCTGTGCCCAGCGGTCACACCCCAGGCCCCTCTAGCCTCCAGCAGCCATTACAACCTCAGACCTTTGGAGCAGGGAGGGTGTGTAAGGTACTGCTTATCTAGCTTCCCGGGTAGCTCTGTCTTGGCAGTCACCAGCATGGGTCCCAAAGCTTGGAAAGGATTCATCAGACTCCGTAATAACAACAGCAGGGCCTCCCTGGAGGTGCAAGGGGTTGCACTCTGAAGCTGTCCCCAGCCACTGCAGCTCACAGGGAGTCTGATCCCCAGCCAGGGAGTGACCCACAGGGCGCAGCAGACCTCTCGTCTCCCCACTGCTCCCCTCAGCAGTGGATTTCAGTCGATCCACCTGTTCTCTCCCCACTCTGTCTCTGGTGAACCTTCTTGCATACACCTCCCCACCCCACACCTCTGGCCTCTCCCCCAGTTCTTGTTGCATAATGAATCAACCTTAAAACAAAACCAGCAGGCACCTGTCATCTAGCGCTGTGGCAGTGCTGGCTCCCACGGCAGCAGCGGCCTAGTGAGAACAATCTGGTCCCTCGTAGGACCGTGGCGTCCATATTGTCACCGAGTTCTTATATTGTCATCATCTTTGTAGATGACAAAATGGCAGCTCAGTAGGGGAAAGATTCATGCGAGGCCCCCCAGCTGGAAAGTGGAATAGGTGTCACTCGCCCCTGACCCTGGGGCCTCAAGCTCAGTGCCACGGGGCTCCTTTGATTTCTCTGAATGCGGCAGGTTGTCCCCTAAGTGTCACATGGGAGAAAGTTCCCGCTGCTCTTCTGGGCTGTCTCAGTATGGTTGAATAACCAAATTAACATGAGATGGATTGCAGGGTGGGAGTGGGGGAGGGGGAGGGAATGGGGCGGGAATCAATTACATTCAGAGAATCTACAGGGACCCTAGCACCCCAAAGACAACCGTGGCAAACAGGGGTATAAATCTTAAACTAATGAATGGGAAAGGATAGTGGCTTCGAGGAGGGGAAATCATGTGATAACGTCTGCTCTGTAATTAGATGCTTGAGAGACAGATTATGCAGAGAGAAAGGCTGTTTTTGGTAGCAATAATTCTGGGTAAGATCCCCACTTTCCATTCTTCCAGACAGGTAAGGAGTGGAAAGTGCGCTTATGAACCAGTCAGGCCCTGACTGACATCAGTTTGAAGGAACCCACGCGAGAAGCGGCCTTAGCTGAGGAGGCCTGTCCTTCAGTTCCCACCTGTCATCTTCCTGTGACTTTTCTCAAGTCTTACACTTTAGACATTGGGCTGATAGTTGGTTCCATCTCATTAAACCATTTAAACAGCTGTATCTGGAAGCAGTGATTCAGGCAGGCTTAGGTCTATGGTGCAAGCAATGAGGTGTTTAATAAGAGGCATCTCTGTGGAACGAAAAAGAATGGTTAATGGTTAGAGTAGACTGTCATTGTGGTTGCTGAGTTCTGAGGGCAGCCAGTGAAACTTCTAGACCTCAGACTTAGAGCATCTTCCATTGGAGTGAAGACAGTGGTAATCTGACAGATTTCCCCAGGTCTGAATGTCTCTCATGCTCTTTCTGCCTGACCCACACAAGAGATTGTCCATCTGTGAGCCATATGGGTGTTTTCTCTGAAGTTATATATCAAGTTCTCTACCTCCTGCTGGCCTGGCTTTAGAAAAAGGAAAATTGGGGGCTGTCAGTAATTCCAAAACTGGAAATATTCATCCTTGGAGAAAGGAATATGAGTCTAGAGGAAGACTAGAAATTTAATTTGGAGAGTCAAAGGCAGATGCTAGAGAATGTTATAAGAATTTAGGATCCAGAGAGAACCGAAACAACTCAAGGTTAATGAAGGGGCATGTCTGATAGCGAAAAGGGTCCATCACTGAAACAATTTCTTTCTCCATCACCTTCCTGCCTACCAAAGATACCCAAAATAGAGTTAATTTGTTTGCAAATTAAGTCTAGTTTCAGTAAGCATGGACTGATATTTGCATAACTGCAGCAAGAATAGCTATTAATCATAAAGTTGTCTTTAAATCTGCTTTGCTGGAACTTTTCATAAGGATTCTCAGGTTGAACTTTTAATAGCCTCTTGAGGCTAAGAAGATGCGCCAAGGCCTTGCCATTAGAATTCACCTGTGATATCTGTAAACGTGGGTTAGTTCTTCCCCTCTTGGGGTCCCCAAAACTCCCTGCAGCTTCTGGGCCTGCAAGGAGGTAACCTTCATTGCCCTTCTGGTAGGCTGTCTGGAACCCTAAAGAAGGTATGAAGTTGATTTGGATTTATTGACTGTAAAGTCCGCTCCCGCTATTTAAGGCTGTCTGGTCATATCTGAGTCCATGTACATCATTCTCAAATATGAACTTCTAGGGCCCTTCCTGGTGGCTCAACGGGTAAAGCGCAGCACTGCGGAGTTCAAAGCCCCGCCAGGGAGCTGACCCGCATGGCACAGCAGATCTCTCCTGTCTCAGCCACTGCTCCCCTCAGCAGTAGAATTCAGTACATCTGCCTGTTCTGCTCCCCACTGTCTCTGGTGAATCCTCTCACTCCCCTGCACTTCTGGCCTGTGCCCCAGTTCCGTATGCATAAACAAATAAATCTTTAAAAAATACATGAACTTCTGGCCCTCCCTGGTGGCGCAGCGGGTTAGAGCACTGCACTGAGAAGCTGAAGCCACTTCCGCATGAGTTCGATACCCGCCTGCCCCGGAGGTGACCACATGGTGTGGCAGACCTCTTCTGATCCGCCAGCAGTGTATTTCGATGATCTGCCTATTGTGCTCCCCACTCTGTCTCTGGTGAATCTTCTCTCTGTTCCTGCACCTCTGGCCTGTACCCCAGTTCTGTATATACAAATAAATAAATCTTTAAAAATTATATATATATATATATATGAACTTCTAATGAGAACCTTGATAGTATCACCTCATTTCCAATAGCATTTTACTATACAGATAACAGATTTTTAGTGAATTTTTGCAAATAAATAAGTTGTTATTAAAGTAAGAATACTTTTTAATAGTTACCAAACTCGAGAGAGATCAGGTAGGAAGAAAAATGAAATGTTTCAATTTTGTAAAGGTAAATTTTGCCAAATTGATGCACATCATAGCTGGCTTTAAAAAAAAAAAAAGCAAACAACAGTTTTCTTAAATCTGGGAAAAACAAAGCATTAAAAACCAACACTATTTCAAACAAAAGGTAAAATATATATATTCATTCTCATTAGCTCAGTCCTTCCCATCTTATTAAATCTTGATCAATGTTAGCAGTTTTATAAATACAGTTTTTCCATAGTTTCTTATTCAGTTTTATGATTGCAATATTATCAAAAAATTGTATTCTAAAGCATTTGTCAGCCTTTTCCATAAATCTCTCTGAACATGAAATACATTGGTAAAAACACCAGCTTGGCCCTCCCTGGTGGCACAACAGGTTAAAGCGCAGCACTGTGAGCGAGCTGCCTCAGCTTCAGTGCAGGGTTCGATCCCCAGCCCAGGTGGTGACCCACATGGCGTGGCAGACCTCTCCTGATTGCCTGATGCTCCCCTCAGCAGTGTACTTTAAAAAAAAAAGAAAGAAACACCAGGTTAATGATAACTTCTGTCAATAGCAAAACACTTCAAAATTGTCATCATTCCAAATCTGGTAAGAATTGTTAATGTCATTGACAGGAATTTGGTTGTTGTTGTGATGTATGCTACTATTAAAATAATAACTAGGATGACAAACAATAATATTATTTTGCCTTTCTATGAACTTCATGCAAATTTTTGGACACATATTAGTAATATATCCATGTAAATGTAAACTAAGAAGTTTCAGCTTCACATCGTATTTGACAATGTTTTCCAAACAATGTCAGATAAGCCAATTAGATGAATATTTCTCTTTTTTTTAAAGATTTATGCATAGAAAAACTGGGGTACAGGCCAGAGGTGCAGGGGGGTGGTGAGAGGATTCATCAGAGACAGAGTGGGGAGCAGAACAGGTAGATTTACTGAAACACACTGCTGAGGAGAGCAGCGGGCGGGTCAGGAGAAGTCTGCCGTGCCAATGAGGGTCCCTGGCTGGGGAACTAACTCATGCTGCAGTGGCTGTGGAGAGCTTCATGGGACTGTGCTTTATCCTGCTGCACCACCAGGGAGGGCCCAAAATCTCAATTTTTTAATAGAAAGTAAACAAGCAATTGTGAACTCTGTTTTAGCAGCATTCTTTAGATAGGCAAATTTATAAATAATGTGTATAATTTCAAAACATGTGTTTTCTTATACTACAATTTTCAGTGTGACACAAGATACATTAGAAAGTCTAAATATCCTTAGTTCTTTTGTAACCAGAAGCCAGAAATAAATAATCTATTTGGTAATTAATGTATTTGCATTTAATTTGTTTGAAAATAATCTGGATATTTAAGAAATTTCCATCATTTAACTTAGTAGGACTACACCTTTTAAATTACAAAAAATACTTAAAAGATAATTGACAAAGTTATTGCTGGAAGTTTACCTAGAAGTTCTTATCAAACATTACTTAAGCCATTTACTTCTATTCTAAACTAACTATATATCTATGAAATATTAGACCAAAACTTATAAAACATTAAGACAAAGTTGGCCATTGTTTTTCTTGCTAGATGACATCAACTTATTTTGACTAAACCCAAGTAGAATAAAAGTACTAACTTAATGTTGGTACCTCTAAACATATGCCCGTTTTAATTAAACCAGCAAAATTAACAAAAATTATCAAAAATTAACAAAATTATAAAAAATATTCCTAGATCATATTAATTTAAAAATTTTGTTTGCATTAGATTTTATTGCTTTCTGGGAGGCTTAGAAAATATGTATATAAGCACTTAGAAATTAAGTAAAACTCATTTGCAAATTAATTTTGGTAATACCATCTGAACGTAGAAAAATGTAATCAGACACATACACCGCTTATTATTTGAACACAAGCGAAAACTTACAAGCTTCATTTAAGTTTTGTCATAAATCAGTCACAAATCTCCTGTGTCTAGAAGTTACCTGAGGATGCTTTCAAGTAGCCACTTTTAGATTTTGCAGGGTTTTCTTTCCTCTTTGTGTTTTCCCCTCCCAGATGTTTGCATTTCAATGGATGGCCTAGATTATGAGTTCCTGGAGAAAAAAGAACACAGGTCTTTCCTAAAATTATTTTAATTATTTTAATTATTTCCCAAGGCCAGAATTGTATATCTTCAACTCTCTTGAAATAATTGGGCAAGGTTCTGAAGATGGTACCGGCAGACAGGATGTCTCTAGAGTTTCAATTCAAGTTCAAGTTTTTCTTCCTCTCTGGATACATTTAACTGTGGGGAGAAGGTCAAAAAAAAAATTATCAGATGCTGAATATGTTTCCAAGTTGGCCAAATTTTTAAAAAAATATTTATTTATTTATACATACAGAACTGGGGTACAGGCCAGAGGTGCAGGGGGCGGTGAGAGGATTCACCAGAGACAGAGTGGGGAGCACAATAGGCAGACTGATGAAGTCCACTGCTGAGGGGAGCAGCGGGCGGGTCAGGAGAGGTCTGCGTGCCAGGTGGGTCACCTCCGGGGCTGGGAATCGAACTCCTACTGCAGTGGCTTCAGCCTCTCAGTGCTGCTGTACGTTAATGCGTTGTCAGTGTCTTGAATCTGGTCAGCTGTGGCCCGAGGCCCTGGGACCTCCCTCTACAGGAGCCACTGGAAGTGAGCAGTGTCCAATCAGTAAAGAAGCCCTTCGTGGCTGCCAAACTGGCAGGAAACGCTGTCCCTACCCTTCCGTGTCCTTCTGTGGTTGGCTGAATAACCAAAGAAACATCAGGTCGATTATTAGGAGGAAAAATCTGATTTAATTGTGTGTATATGGGGAATCGACACAGGCAGAAAGATCCCAGAGACAAATACTCAGTGTGGCACACAGCCTGAGCTGAGGAAGGGGATGGGGCCTGTGGCTTCAAGGAGGGGGGAGGGAGACCCCCAGGACAAAGAGCAGATGCCCGCTCGCCGTGCACACGGGTTATTCGCCGTAGGTTGATTTCTGGTAATGACCCTCATTCTGTGTAAGACCCCCACTTTTCATTCTTTCGGGCAGTTAAGGGAGTGGCTGTCTTTGGGAGGCCCTGTTTGAGCATCTTGGGAACACCCATCCCTCAGCACCTGGAGAAAGTTTCTGATGGAAGGAGTATAACAAGAGCTTGGAGGAAGGAGTCTTGAGTCAAAACACATCTACTGCTGTGCATAGGATCCTGGGGAGAAGGTTCTAACCTGTGCACAGCAGTTCATCCCTCACCTGCAGCAGAGCTTAACGATACCAGCCTTTAGAGAGTTCTGTTGTGGAGAAGAGATCTTGCTGCAAGATCCAGGAGGCAGCCAGGTCGAGGCTCCCCTCTCACCCCAACCCCCCACCCCGCGCCTGGTATGTTGGTGTCTCACCCTACTCTGGGGTCCTCTGTTAATGACACCCGCCTTCCTGCAGCCCCCCTATGCTGCGTCCTGTGTCTACCTCAGGACACCTACCGCGATCATTATCCCCTTGGAGGGACCTGCTCGCTTGGATCTGGCTGACCCTTAATCCACGCTCATAATCCCAGGCTCTGTTGTGTGTCCTGACCTTTCCGCCTCCCCTCCTCTGATCTTGGGTGCACCAGGGAGACCCCAAAGCCCTGGAACAGGACCCCAGGAGTGGACAGGGGTCTGGCTGCAGCTGGTTGAGCTGCACCGGGCCTGGAAGCTGCTTGGGTTCCTGGTTCCCACCGGGGTCAAGAGTGACACCTGATCCAGGTGAGTTGTGAAATGGCATGAGGTGGCAGCCTGCCTGCCTGTGCTCGCAGAGCACTCTACCGGCGCGCGGCCCCGCCCCTACCCCACGCCCCCCTTGCGCGAGGTTAAATCCCCCCATCCCGGCAGCGGCTCACACCTGCACCCCGCCCGCCCGCCGGCCTGCACCATGCCTGCCCGCGGCCTCGGCCTCCTCGCTGCCGCCCTCCTCGGCCTGCTGCTGCCGGGCCTACCCCCGGCCACAGGTGAGCGGGGCGGGGTGTGCATGGGGGCGGAGGGGGGGCCGGCGCCCAGAGGGGCTGAGCCAAGAGGTCTGGACAGTCTAGCAGAGGCAGGCGCAGCCTCTCTGGGGACTGAAGAAGTGGGAATTCCTGAGGCGGAAGTGGAGAGACCCAAGAAGGAAAAATTCTCCTGCATGAAGGTGGTGATCCTCAAGTTTAGGGTGCGGGGGTCCAAGGCATTCCAGTGGGGACACCACTGAGGGCTGCAATTTGGGGGCGACGCTCTGCGCTGCAGGTGGAGATTCAGTGGCCAGAGGGGGCCTGGACATCAGAAACTCCTGCTTGCTCAGCTGTGGCGGGGAGGGACCGAGGGCTCTGAGGCCAAGGTTAGGATTAGGGAACTGCTGTGCCCCCAGGTGTTGGGAGACCCGTGGGGGGCCCTTCCCGCCATAGACTGAGAATTCCTTTAAGCTGGAAATGTGGGGCCTGCCACAGGGCGCAGGAGGGAGCATCGCCTGGAACTGGGACTCAGGTCCCCCTGGTTAACGCCCCCCTGCCTCCGTTCCCAGGTGCAGAGCCAGAGAAAACAGGGGTGTGCCCCGAGGTAACGGTGGGCCAGAACTGCACGCAGGAGTGCCAGTCCGACGGCGAATGTGCCGACAACCTCAAGTGCTGCCCAGCGGGCTGCGCCACCATTTGCCAGATGCCCAATGGTAACCTTGGGCGACCCGCGGCGGGCAGGGCGGGAGAGGGCGGAGGGAGGCGGGAGCGCCCGGGCCCGGGAAGAGGGGCGCTTCCCTGGGACCCCAGGCCAGGTTGAGGCGGATGGAACCAGATCCGCCAGGCGCGGGGAAGACAAAGGCGTCGCTGAAGCGCAGCGCGGGGGAAGGGCCCCCCCCCCCCCACCAGCCCGGCTGGATTCGATTCTCTGGTGCGTGACGGGCTTCCGGGCACGCGCAGCGGGATGTGGTTCCGGGAGATCGGGGACCCGGGTTCGCACTTTGCTCCCGGGGCCGGGAGGTGGGGCGGCGAGAGAGCTGGGCCCCCGCCTGGGGCGCTCATCCCTAGGGGTTCCTCCGCTGGGGCCTGGGAAGGGCCTGGAGAGCCTGACCTGACAGGTCTTCCAAGATTCCGCTGTCCAGGCAGAAACAGACCTTGGATTTAGGGGCCAGCTCAGCTCATTTTAAGATGTGGAAGTGAGGGGCGGGGGAGGGGAGGGGAGGGTGCTGCGCAGCAGCCAGAGCTAGAGGGTCCAGCGCTCTCCTGAGCGGTCCGAGGCCAGTCAGGGCTCCGCCCGAGCGCCCCTTCCCGTCCTTTCTCGGTGCCGCCCCGCAGCCTTCCCTCCGGGCGGGGCGCCCACCCCGGCAGGGGGCGGCCCCAGGCACAGAATGCCAGCTGCTCCCTTTTCAGAGGGAACCGGGGCTGTTAAGTGGATGTGGTGGGTCTCTATCCAGAAGACCTGCCCCTGGGTTTCCCCCTGCTCCGCGTTTCCCTGTTCTCCAAAGCGGCTGGGAGGTGTGTGCCTAGAGGCCCCAGACGGCGTGGACGAGAAGCTGGCCTGGGGCCCGGGGCCTCCGTTCTCGACCCGGAGGGGAGCCGAAGCGAGGGATGGAAGTGGGGGAGGGGCCGCCGTGTGACACGCGCCTTCTGCTCTTGCAGTCCGCACAGTCCCGTCGCAGCTGGGCAGACGCAGGCTGGCGGGAAGGAGGCGCGGAGCGGCAGGACCCACCGCGGTGGAATCCTGCTCTGTTGCGGCCTGGGCTGGGGCCTGAGCTAGTTGGTTCCCCTCTCTGTGCCTGTGCGCCCAGCAGCAAATTGGGGGAGCTGGCTTCAGATGCAGTGGGAGGTGCACCCCATTAAGTGAAGCCCTGAATGTCTTAATAGGGGGCGGGCACCCTGCAGGTGCCTTGACTGTCAGTGACTGTCCCTGAGGGGAGCTGCTAGGAAGTCAGGCTGACCAGTGCCTCCTGTCCTCTGCCGCTAAGCTCCCCATTCTGGGTGTGCTTAGCGCGTGTCCAGGCTTGCACTGGGCAGCTCCCTCCCCTGAAGGGTGTGCACGCGTGTGCTGGAAGCTGGATTCGGGTCTAGGTTTTGCTTCTGACCAGCAGTGTCCCGTTGGGGAGCCTTCCCCTCTCTGTGCCTCATCTTCCTCGGGTGGGAGAGCAACAGGGTTTGAAATGCCTCTGCCAGGGGCCCCTTGTGGGGTTCAAAGAGATAGTGCATTTGTAAGAGTCCAGATTCTCCTTGTCAAAGGCACATCTATGCAGCCTTTGCTGTCATGTGTGTGTATGTGTTCGTGTGTGCAAGGATGCTCTCTGTGTGTGGATGGGAGGTTGCAGGGGCCCGCACGTTGGGTGACTGTCACTGGGAGGGGGTTACTGAAGGGGAGAGGGCTTGTGGAACCCCCCGTTGGCACTGTCCTCTCCAGCCTGAAGAGCAGCTGGGCACCCGGTGCAGACTCTGAAGGTGATTCCCGGTTTCACCTCCTGCCCTGAGGGAAAGGACTTCACCTCGGGTGCCTCAGTTTCCTCTTCCATAACAAGAGGACATGTCGAGTGCCTTTCCCCCTCTTCCAGGCTTTCTGTGAGGATTGCATGAGTTGATATAAGCCAAGTGCTTAGGAGAAAGTCTGGCACACAGAAAGAGCGAAGTGGGGGCCCCTGTTCTAATCACTCATCATCATCATCATCATCACAAAGTAGCCTGGTCCTCCAGGGAGAAGTCTTGTGTGTGTTGCCTCGCCCCTTTCACAACACCCCAGTGATGTGGGCAGCACAACATGGGAGCCCGGGAGACTTCTGGCCCTAGGCCTTGGGGTTCTGACAAAGCAGAGCCGGGTCTCAGGCCCTGGGAGTCCAAAGCCAGAAGCGAGGGGCAGGGGGAGGGGTGTGTAATGGTCATGGGTCCTGGGACCAGCTGGGGCAGGCAGCTCTAGAGCTCGGGAGACCAGGGCGGGGCGGGGAGGGCGGGAGTGCGTGAGTCTCCCTGCACCCCTCTGCCCACCGCTTACTCCTCTTTCCACCCAGAAAAGCAGGGCTCCTGCCCCCAGGTGGACTCTGGGATCCCCCAGCTCGGCCTCTGCGTGGACCAGTGCCAGGTGGACAGCCAGTGTGCTGGCCAGTTGAAATGCTGCCGCAATGGTTGTGGGAAGGTGTCCTGTGTCACACCTGTCTTCTGAGGTAGGTGGGGGAGAGGGCAGGGGTGCCCAGACGTGAGGGCGGCTGCAGGAGGTTGGGAAAGAACCGACCTGGGCAAGCCATTCTGTCCATTTCTTCACTTGCCTTACAAGCTATCTGTTGCACATCTGGCACGTGCCATGCAAGTGCCTTGGAGAAAAATCAGAATGGGGGTGGGGGCGGGGAGGGTGGGGAGCGACGTTGCCGTTTTTTTTTATCGGGTCAGTCGGTGCCAGGTCCACCAGGAAGGCAGCAGGTGAACCCAAACTAGATGGAGGGAGCCAGGAGGGTGTTTGGGGAGAGTGTTACAGTCAGACGGGCAAAAACAGGAGCAGCCCTGGAGCGCAGAGCAGAGAGAGGGCTTCGAGGTGAGGGCTGAGGCCACTGCAAGGACCTTGGCCTTCACCTGGAGGTGGAGGACTGAGCTGGAAACACCCTCTGGGACTTAGATCGGACTGGAGCCCCCGGCTGCTGTGCAGAGAATGGACTGTTGGGGGCAGCAGAGAGCAGCGAGCCCCTAGAGAGAGGCCAGGAGAGAGGCCTCAGACCCAGGGACCTCCGTGGCCCGGTGGCCTCCCGGGACTTAGGGGAAGGCGAGTGGCGCAGCACTGACCGGGAGGAGAGAAGATGCACCCCCTTTTTCCTTAACTCGCGCCTGCGAGCTGTGCCTGCGAGCAGGGTCAGTGGCTGGAGGGGGCGGGCGGGAAGCGCTTTGCGCCTGGGGGGCGGCCGCGAGCTCACCCCCACAGGTGTGTTCGAAGTGTGCCGGGCGCTCACTTGCTGGCAGCCAGGGGGAGCCAGCGACATCGCTGGTGGCCCTGGCCCTGAAAGAAAGAACTGGGAGCCCCCCCCCACCTTTGGTTAAAAACAAAACGATGTTAGGTTGTAGCAGGTATACGGAAGTGAAGAAAAACAAAGCCGGAAGCGCACACTGAGTGGGTGCAGGGGTGAGCCTGCACCTGCTTCTGTGACAGGCCCTGAGGAGCGAGGTGGGGCTGGCTCGCCCAGGCCCACCCAGGCCCACAGCCCGGAGCTGGGCGGGAAGATTGGATAGACACTCCAAGAGCCCAGGAGGAGGGAGAGGCGCCTCACTGGGGTGGGGGGCATCTTGGTGGGGGGCTTCCAGGAGAGCAGCCTGGGACCCTAAGGGATGAATGGAAGGGGACAGCCCGGGAGGGGTGAGCTGGCAGTTTCAGGCAGAGAGGACAGGACAGGTGAGAACTTGGAGGGCCCTTGGGTCCAAGTCTCACTAAGACCTTCTGCTGCCTTCAACAAGTTACAGGGGGCTCTGGCAGGTCACTCGTGGGACCCAGGTTGCAGAGGTGGGGACACTGAGGCCCAGACACGAGGAAGAACCGGCCAGCCCCTGGCAGCGCTTCCGTGGCCTGCTCCTCAGTGCCTCAGGGACACCCCATGCCCGAGGATCCTGCCCCCTGCCTCGTGCCCCCTGCATGGCGCAGCATGGAGGGGCTTTGTGGTCGCAGGAAGCCCTGGTTCAGCTCACACTTACCTAGCCTTTCCGCCCCTCAGCTGCAATTATTTTGCCTATAAATTGGGGTAAATAAGATCTCTTTGGTGAGCAGTTCCCAGCTTCCCCTAAGGAATGGAGGTCTGGTGGAGCTTCCTGGTGGTAGAGGGATTCTTGGGGGACCCATGATCTTGGCCCCTCAGGAAGGCCTTGGTGGTCAGTGGGGGCCATGGGACACCCGGGAGTGTCAGGGCAAGGGCTGAAGCCAACAAGGGGAGTCAGCACCTGCAGGGAAGTAGAGGCCCCAGACTCTCCTGGGGACGCCTGGCTGTGGTGGGTGGGATGGCGAGGTGGGGGAAGCTTCGGTCCAGGGTTTATGTGCTTGTCTGATGTGACGGACACTGTTGCTGATGGCGCTATGACTTTCTTCCTGCAGCCTGGAACACTGCAGCCCTAGGAGTGGGGAGCAGAAGTTTCTCCCTGGCCCTGTCTCGCTCTTGCGCAGCTCTGGCCCCTTCTTGGCCTCTGTACCCCCTCCTGGCCACAGCTCTTCCTCTTCCAGCCAATAAAGTGACCACTTCCAGCACGGTGGGGGGTGGCCTTCATTCTTATCGTTCTGTCCTCGTCCCCTGACCTGGGTCCTGCAGGTGCAAGGTCCAGGGAGGAGTCCACTCGAAACAGTGACCTTGCATTCAGTGGGGGAGGGGGCTGCCCTCCGGGGAGCTGGGGGGTGAAAGCCAAGGCTCAGGTTTTCCAGGCCCTCTGACCGCTGCCCACTGCCCACTGCCCACGAGCCACAGAACCGCAACACCAGGCTTAGGTAGCTGCTGCCCGCTGCCCGCTGATGGGGGTGGCAGGCCAGCTGGCTACCCTCATGTATTTCAAGAAGTAACGAGCCAGCAGTGGCCCTAGCAGACCTGGCTGAGGTTTTACTGTGAGAAGACAGCTGGGCCGTCTGGGCAGGGTTGGGAGATAAACCTGGGGTCTCCCCCAGAACCTTAGGGCGAGTGGAATTTTCCCCAAGGAGACTCTGGCCCAGGGGCCACCTGAGGAAGAGGTGGGGAGAGCCAGAGGTGAAACAACCAGGAACCCCAGGGATGAACAGGAAGATGCCAGGGAGGGAGGGCTGAGCAGCAGAATGCGGTGAGAAAAGAGGAAGGGGGTGTCCAGGGGGAGACCCTGGCCTGGCACCTCTTTCTGACCACCTTTGGTAGGCAAGTGACTGCTGTCGATCAGGGCCTCCGACGGCCTTTGGTTGAAGAGAGGAAGAGAAAGAAGGGGGTGCCTTCAGCCCCTGGCGCAGGTTTGGGAAGGCAGTGCGTTAGGAGCCTGGGTGGTGCAAGGACCTCCCCCAAGGAGCATGGCCTGGGGCAGGAAGCCAGAGATGCTGCCCCAGAGGGACGGTCTCCCCCACTCTCCCAGAACCGCCCAGTGCCGTGCTGGGCTTCTGGCTGCAGCCCAGACTCACTGCCCGAGGTCTCTGGCAACTCCAGCGTAGACGGCCATGCGTGGCAGCCCCGCGTGGAAACACACATCTGTTTCGCAGAGAAGTGCAGCTCTGCGTTTGCAGGGACAGTCGGGGCCAGAGCTTAGAAATGACCAGTAAAGGAGTCCAGCTGGGAACAACACAAGTGGAGGCCTTGCCCACTCAGGAAATATTTATTGAGCGTGGACTAGGCTGTTACTTCAACCAGGCTGGGAAGAAATAACTTTTTCCCTACCCCTATCTCTTCACGTGGCCGTAGGAGGCCCCAGACGGTCAGGTGGAAGGCTGGACTTCCTTCATGCTCCTTTCAGTGTTCTGTGTCCTTCCATGGAAGTTTTCCTTCCTTAGCTTCTAAAACACTAGACGGGTCCAGCTCTGAGGCGTAGGAGAAGCCCCTGTTAAGAGGGCCATTGTAGCTGTCAGCTGTCACAGTATGAACCAGCACCGCACCCAGCCATACCATTCACCCGTGTCTTTGGGTCAGTAGGTTCAGGTGAGGCGTGTGGCCTGTGCTGGCCAACCAGCACCTACAGGAGACTCGTCTCCCGCTGTGGCCGGACCACAGGCACATTCCAAGCCTCTGTTTTCATCTGTCAATACAGCTTTGGCCACAAGTCCCATGCCTAGCCCAAAGTGAAGGGGCCAGAAATTTGCTCAGCAAATTCCACAAGTGTGGATACAGGCGTGAGTGAGGATTGCACCAGTTACGCAATCCTCCACAACGGTTATGCTTAGTACGCTGTGGTTGCTCTGAGCTGCTGGTCTCTGCTGGGGAGAAGCAGCCCCTTGCAAGGCTTCCTGGCTCAGAGCATCCCGCGAGGCAGCACCTCCCCCAGTCTGGTCGCCAAGTTGGTGTAGCAGCAGCAGGCCAAGCCTGGCCCACCTTGTTAGCACAGAGTCCTACACTCTTCGGTGAATTCCTCAAAGAAAGGCATTCACTTAAATAAGCACAGTGCAGTCATCAAACTCAGGGAATTGCCAGCAATCCAGCACTTTGCCGACAGGCAGCACTAGTTACGTAATTGGTGGGCCCCAGGGTTCAGCAGACATGGGGACCCTTGTTCAAAGCACAGGCGAGCGCCCCATGGTCTGCGAACAGGACACCTTACCTCTCGCACAGCTTCTCTTGACCTGTCATGGTGCTTTCCCCTGATGACTCACTGTCACGCTCCCTCCCGCAGGGAGTACCTGTAGAGCAAGCAGGCAGACCTCAGAGGGTCTGCGGGCCCTGCCCCCACTGGACAGTGTCCCCTGGAGACCCCACCTGCCCTGGACT